TATATGTTCTCAATTTCTATTCTATTTCCTATGATGAGGGGCTTCAAAAATGTATAATAATTTCTTTTGAAGTAAGTAAACGTTTTCACATTCTTTCATTCACCATGTTGAACAGTTGTGCACAGAAAGATAGAATCTTATACTGTATGAAAATATTCAACCTTTTTCTTTGTTAAAATGAAGAAGTATTTTTTTTTAATAGAGTTTGTTTTAAATTCATAAGTGTTAACATTTTCCTCTAGTTTGTTGCCATGCCTTCATCGTTAACAAAGAAATTTCTTTTTAGTAGAGGAATCGACACAAACCAATGGAAAAAGTTAACATGAATTTGTTTACGGAAGTTCTGTAGTTTAGTGAAGGAGGAGTAACGTTTTGAAAGGATGCGAAATCCAAATCTATCAACCTTTTCCTTTGGTTTTCTATACTCCTTCAAGCTTTTTTGTGTCCTTGAAGGAGATAACAGAAAAAACAAAGAAAAAAATTAACGGATGGAGTTCATAGCAGAAATTTTATAGATGGATGTCTACAGGTTATCTAAGTCTTCGAGACTGTATTTATAGACATCCTCTGTAGGGTCTATCTTTTAAATGTTTTTAAGGAGTTTATGAATTTTATGAATGTTTTAGCGTTTTGAAAGGCCTTGGAGTTGTTACAAGTTAACACAAAGAAACCTTGGAGTTGTTAAAAGAAATTTTATAAATGTATGTCTACATCACTAATTAGTATTGGGAAAGGCCTGATATGGGCTTCAATAATAAAAGACAATCTACTTAAATGATATATGGGAAAATGCAGTTTGCTGCTAGAAACGAAGAGGTTGACGTCAATTTCTTCAGACCTCCAAAGTGTCTTTTTGGTTTAATTCTTTTTTCTTTTAATCCAACAATAAACGTCAGATTCCTTGGGCAAATGACGTATTATTCATTATCCAAAGGCAAAGGTCGCTCTATTTTTTCTTTTTCCTTTTTATTCGTTGGTTTAAAAGAAAAACAAATTATTTCTAGAAAAAAAACTATCGAATTGGTGAAAGTTTTCGACATTCTTTGGTTGGTTTAAAAGAAAAAAAGAGGGACTGAGGTTATTGTTAATGTTGCCTGTTCTGTTATGTGGCTTCATATGTGACTTCCTCCGTTTAATAAAACGTCGAAGCCATGAGTACAATGACGTTTTTTCGTTTGGTTTAGAAGAAAAAATTAAAAACATAATTTCTAGAAAATACAACGTCGAACGCGAAGAAGAATTGGACCTTATATGGTTAGTTTAAAAGAAAAAGAAAAAATAATAAAAAGGAACTAAATAACAAAACGTCTAAGCTAGTATAAAACTGATATTTTATGGGTTGATTTAAATGAAAAATAAACAAAAAACTGCTAGCTGTAATATACAATGTCCTTCTGTTGTTACGGTAGATGTCATAGTAATTAAATCAATATTAGTATTTATTTATTTTGTATTGGATGTCGACTGCTTTATATGTTCTCAATTTCTATTCTATTTCCTATGATGAGGGGCTTCAAAAATGTATAATAATTTCTTTTGAAGTAAGTAAACGTTTTCACATTCTTTCATTCACCATGTTGAACAGTTGTGCACAGAAAGATAGAATCTTATAC